TCCCACCCACCAACACTCTGCCTACCTGGCATGTTTCAAAACCGCGCACATGCAGTTGAAATGAAACATGTCACCCATGTTTCAAATCTATACTGGAGAATGTATATAATTAGAGCCAATGCCATTCATCAGATAATCCATTGGATGTAGATCCGAGAGATCTGTATAAAAAACACTTCTCACTTGTTGGTCCTTTGGCAACTGAAATTGGCTGTGGTTAAAAAAGAGAGGGAGGGAGGATGTTAAATGGACGGGCTTCTGTCCTGTAATGAATCCGTAGATGTCAGACTCTAAAACCACAATGTAATAGGATTTAAGATACAGTGCAGAAGCTTAGTGTAAACCTCTGGAGTCGGCCTTTTCATGTGAAAAAGTATACTGTAGAACAACACACACATAATGATCATTTCATAGGGCAAAAGGCATACATCCTTAGTCCATAATACATGGAAAGCCCATGCATGAAATCAATAAACTTAAGCAATTGTATCTGTAGTCTTCCATCACTAAATTCATCCAAACATTTTCAGAACTCACAAGCCCGCCCCAAATTTGTGCTGAGAAGGACAGCAGATTAGCACATTTGTTTCGCCTGTCCCTGAGATGCTGAGTAAGGTCTCCTGTATTTTTCTCCATCTCTTCCACTGGTGGGAACAGGTCCTTTAAGTGCATCGGTACCCTTGCTTCCATGATTATGGAACTAGCCCTAAAGGACCTACTCCTTTTGTTCCAGTCAGTCACATAGCAGATCCATTTTGTGTTTTCCATATGTATCTGACACCCATTGGGCAGACACATGAGAAGAAGCTTTTTTATGTGCATGGTTATTCCATGGTTATGAAACTCCCTGCCCCAGGCAGACAATCAGGCAATATCCTGGCTGGTTTTCCACTAACTTTGGAGATACATCTGTTTCAGTTAATTACTTTGGCCATTGACCAAACTGGTTTGTTGTTATTTGTTGTCCTGTCTCCATCTCAGTAAGCTTCATTATGGTCATTGACCAAGGCAGAAAAGAAAAGAAGACAATTCTGAGACAGCAAATAAGGAACAAATGAATAATTATAACAAAACTAATAATTCTAAAACTGATGTGATCAGAATGCAAGGTACTTTATAAAGAGGAGAGCAGAACATAGCCTAGAGAAACTAAATCACATTGGTTGGACCAGTGTTTCTCAACCTTGGCCATTTTTAAGATGTGTGGACCTCAACTCCCAGAATTCCCCAACCAGCATGGCTAGCTGGGGAATTCTGGGAATTGAAGTCCACACATTTTAAAATGGCCAAGGTTGAGAAACACTGGGTTGGACAATAATAACTGTAAATAAAATGAATCTGGGTGGCCTGGAAATCTGACTAGATGGGGGATTTTTAGCTGTAACCAAGCTTCTTTATAACAAGGGCAAATAGCAAAACACGGGTAAACGTTTCAGTAATTCCTTGGCCACACGGGCAAAGTCTTCATTGGAATGAAATATCCCAGAGTTTCCCTCAAGAACAGCTGTTGGAAGGACATTAAATCTTGCCAGAAGTAGGGCTCTTCTGAATTTTGCAACCATTATTTGGCTTAAATATCTCGCTGGCTTAAAGAAAAAGGGTGCAGCTGCTCTGGGACATATCTTTAGGTAGGGCAGCTAGATCTTATTGGCTGTCCAGAACTTGACATGCTCAGGACACGAACCGTCATCAGAATTACTTCAGGTGAGAAATCATGGCGTTTTAATTTATCATGCGGTGGCCCATTCCAGGATGAAACAAAGTCATCAATTAAAATCAGAGAGGTCAAACCCATGGGGAAAAAAGTGACATCAGACACATGGCCAAATACCGTCTCAATTGGCCACACCAGCTTCACAGTGCAGTGTTGCTTTGTCTGCATTTAGCCTGGGGTGTACATTAGATTGTTTACTAAAATGGCTGACATTTTTAAGTCATTCGTAGTATTTCAGTGTGGAATTGCAAAATGTATAAGCTGTCTGTATTATAG